AGGAGGCATCAGGAACCACTTTAAAGGTGAACTGTAAAAAATAATGTGATAATAACTTCACTCTGCTTTTCCTTCTCACTTCTTTTCTTGTGTCTCCTTTTCTTTCCACTTAAGCCTCACAAGAGTGAAGCTTCTTGTCTTTCTCTCCTTACTTACCAATCACTCTTCCTTCAGCCTGGTGCCCTATAGACACCTATCTCTACAACTCAACTAAAGCTGTACTTTGCAAGACCATCAAAGACATTTTAATTATCAAATCCAAAGGTTCCTTTTGGATCTTTCAGGTCTCCAAACAAATTGCATCTTCTTGAAGAGGAATTTCCTGACCACCTGAGTTAAATCTCATGACATTCTCAAATATATTACCATATTTTACATTCTTGATAGCCCCTAGTACTTGATGAAAAAACTGCCTATCAGTTATTATACATATTACCCGGGTGATGAAATAATCTGTACACCAAACCCCCATGACACAGAGTTTACCTAGATAACAAACCTGCACATGTACCCTTGAACCTAAAAGTCAAAAAATAAGAAATCAACTGTAGATATTTGTTTATGTGTTTATTTTCTTTCTGCTCCCACTAGAACGAAAGATTATTGAGGGAAGGGACTCAGCCTTGTCCACCAGATCCTAAATGATACTTAGTAGACACATATTAAGCATTCAAGTAATATCTGTTTACTGACTGGGACTGATCAATTTACCTCTTACATGACCTCTCTGGAACATTTGTCAGTGACAACAGTTTGCTTCTAGATGCCCCCTTCATGGCTTTTGAAATAGTACCCTTCCTTTTTAGTCTCTTTTGCTAACTTTCCAATATGATGTGATCTGTTTGAGAAAAGGGACTGCTATTAGCATATTTGCTGGCACGTGAAGGACTCGCAAAACACTCATAAAACATCCTTCTATTTGGGCTTCAGTATGAAAGATCTTAACTGACCTGTGTGTTTAAAATGACGTGTATTGAAAGAAGTATTATTTTTGGGCCACGAAGATGCGTAAATATTTCTAGTGTGATAATTAGGTATTGAGAAACTTGGAAGTGTATGAATAGATAAATTGCTTAGTACTATGAACTGTAGTGTTTTGGTACTTGGTCGGTACCATTACTTGATTGAATGCTGTGCAGCTGTTAAAATTATATTACAAATTATAATTATTAAGATAAACTTAAATTATTTGTTATAAGTTAACAAGGCATGACACAATATTGTGCATAGAATATAAGTACAACTTTATAAAACGTATGCAACAATGAAAACTAGCAAGGAATGAAACTTGCTAAGTTTTTGTTTCAATGATTTTGTTTCATTGTTTCAATGAAACAATGAAAACTATAACAGAGACTGTAATAGTAGCTGAGTCATTTTATGGAATTTCAGATGTTTGTTCTTTTCCAAATTCTCTGTAGCCTTTTAATTTTGGTATGTTTTAAAAACAATTCAAAGCTGAATACACTTTAAGCATCCTGTAAAACTTGGAATGAACTTGTGTTGAAATGTCAGAAGAGGTTAGTGGTAGGTGTTGTCATGTTTGTTCAAGAAAGAGAGGTTAGTGGTGGTGGTGGCATCTTTGTTCAAGAAAGAAATATGTCCCCTATTATTCATGGCCTTTGCGATTTCCTTTGTGTTTAATGTATTCCACAAGTAGATTCTCCTCTCAAGGTATCGCACCCTGGAAATATAAATAAAGACTTAAATTACTCCCATGAAAGTGACTTCTTCTAGCTTACACAATGAATCACTGGCAGACCTGGGAATGAAACCCCTCAATTTACACTCTTAGACTTCATAAACATCCCTAAAACACTTCATCTCTCCTACATTGTTAGCTATATAATGAAGAGTTCTACATTTATTAGACTATAAGTCTTATGTTTTCCCTTTGATTGCTATCACTCTAGGTGGCAACAAAAGTCATTCTAACTTCATTTATAAGAGCCAGGTTTGTTTGACACACACTTTGTGGAGTTTACTAAATTATTGCTTCTTCTCTCTCATTTATAATTTTGAGAATAATCTATGTTCTTGAAATTTATTGCTCCTGCATTTGCAGAGGCATAGAGAAATGTGGCAATTTATTCATAAAAAGCTTTATCATGGAAATGAATGACAGTAAGTCTCTGGTTCACAAGATGATTAGAGTAACAGAAAACACACAAATTCCAGCTTTATCCATACAACAGTTTTCAAGGCTATGTAGTTAGAAAAATATGATTGGAGGGTTGATCTGAGTTTAATGTATGAATTCACAGCCTCTGCAGGCTGTCCCTTACTCTACAGGAGTGAGGCCATCAACCTGCGATGTAGAAGCTACTAGGCCGGAGTACTTTTGTCTCTGCACACAAGAATGACTTGCTCTCCGCTAATTTAGACAACCCATATACTTCCTTATTAGTGACTAGCTACATATTTTTGTATTGTTTCTTATTTGAATAAGTTTATTGTGCATACATTGTCCAATTATAGCAACCTTGACCTGGAGAGAAAGCTCATCTTCTCTAAAAAATACCTGTGAGGGAAAAACGAACTTCCTTCAAAATATATATCACCCCATGAACAGAATGCTCCTCAAGCAGACATACAACTCCAGAAGAAAAATCAGACATTCTCTTAAGAAATCAAATGGCTCGAGAGCAAAAACTTTGATACCATTTAGATGACTGCCAGCATACTCCCTACCCAGATAATCAAAGGCAGATCTCTCTGATTAGTAAGCCTTGACCACATACAAAGAGTGCCCCCATCAGGTTTTTGATGTTAGTTTGTTTTCATCTTAAATACATGTTCAAAAGAGTATATACAAGTGCAATGTAAACAAGCAGACAGACAGCTTCAGAAGTCTTAAGAAATATAATATTACCATTACATTAAAAAGCTTCTATGTGCTCTCTCAAAGCATATCCCTTATCTAGGGATTGCCACCACGTTGAACTTTGCAGTACTCATTCCCTTGCTCTTCTCTCTGGAGTGTATGATGTTAATATCTCTCAACAATATATTTTACAGTTGTCCCTGATTTTGAAGCTTGTACATACCGTGTCATACTGTATAAGTTATTCTGACTCTTTTCCATCTGATATCATGTTTTTGAAATTCAATCCTGTGGATATATGCAATTATAGTTGATTTAGTTTTACTGATGTACAGCATACAATTTTATGAATACACTAAAATCTATGTATTAATATTCTTCCAGTGGGCATTTACCTTGCTTGGTGGCAAATTTTCAAACTTTCTATTGTCTGAATATGTCATTATTTCACCCTCACATTTGAAAAATATTTAAATTTGGCATATGAGTCTAGCTTGGTGGGCTTAATCCCTTCTTATTCCCTTGTTAAAAAGTCAGCTCTCAGTGTAATTGCAATATGTGAATTATCTTTTCTCTCTGAATTCTTTTAATATCTTCTGTGTGCCTTTGGTATTCTGGTGTTTCACTGTTATGTGTTTAGGTGTGCATTTATTTTCATTTATTTCACTTAAAACATGTTGGTCTTTCTGTATTTGAAGTTTAATGTCTTCAAAAATTGTGGAAAAACATTATTATCTCTTTGACTATTTCCTTGACTCCTATTTTCTACTGTCTGTTGAGATTTTAATTACATATATATGAGGCCTTCACTCAATACACCACGTCTTCTGATTTATTTTTTATATTTTAATCTCTGTTTTTATTAGGCAGTATTCTAGATAATTTCTTCAAATTATTTTCCTTTCCAATTTAAAATATCTGTATAGTGTTTGCATTAACTAGACATTTTTATCTAGAAGTAATAAAAACCAATGCCAACATTACCAAGCATATGTTTCAGTCTTCTAGGAAAGTTTTGGAAATACCCTCTAGTATAACTGAACATTTTTTTCTCATTAGCTCACAAGACATTTTATTTCTCAAAAGTAATTGGTAATTTTTTTAAAGTGCTAACATTTTCAGCCATTCTAGGACATAGTATATGTTTACTGATACAATATTTTCTTCATTGATATTTCCTTTGCTAGTTCTTCTGCATCAGCATTTTGAGTAATATAAAAAGGTAGTCTGAGGCACTTTTTCATACTGGTTTAATTTAGATATGAATAATGTAAAGCGATGAATTGTAGGAAATCTCAAAAATAATTTCCCAAGTTTTGCAGTTAGTGCCAAGGACATTTTGCAAATGTACTTATAATTTCATATAGATACAAATAAAGAACTAAATTAAAAGAGAGCTAAAAGCTTATTTTCTTTGGAGTGCAAAACTTGCATACAGATTTTGGTTGTGTACAACTCTGTTTGTAGTGGTAAATGAGAATAGTCTTTATGATGGTAGAAAAAAATTTCCACACATAAAAGCAAAACTTTTCATAAGGCTTTGGTAAGAAATATATGATAAATTATCTTTAAAGTCTTATATGCCAATATTAAGCTTTAAGTTTTGCAGAATAAAAGTCATAAATATCATCATTTCAGCTCCAGTCATATTTTTAATGAACAGATTTATATGGCGACAAAACAGAAGTTATGCTTGAGGTGTAAATGTATTAAGTGAATATATCTCTACTGACATTCAACTTCTATGAGCTAGCTAACCTTTAAATACTAACAAATTTGCCAGTAGACACCTGACTCCCATTTATTTAATGTTTTATTATAGTTGTTATGTTGTATGTTATTATCTTTGAGAAACTAATGGAATTAGTTACTGTGCAAGAGTTACTTATTTTGTTTTGGTTGTATTAAGCTCTGATAGGGAAAGAAAAAGCTCTGTAAAGTAGAATTGTTTAGTTGAAAAAGGATTTATGGTCAACTCTGTTTATGACCAAATCCTGGCACTTGCATTCATTAGCTGTATGGCTAGGAATCTTTTCTGCACTTAAGTGCCCTCATTTGTAAAGTGGATATTATAATACATATGTCATAGATGTATAGTGAGAGTAAGTTAAATAATGAATTTTAAACATCTAAAACAGTGTCTGATATCATACATTGAAAATTTACTATGTTTCAGTTGTGATACCAGATGCTAAGATACAGAGAGGACAGACAGCTCCTAGCACATAATAGGTTAAGTTCGTTTCCACCTATTTAGTGGTTCTTGGTCTTTATTCCATTTCAGATTCAGATCTGCACTGCTTACTCAATAGCCAGTTCCCAGGTATTTTTAAATTCTTGTTGCTTCCTCACCAGTGTTTTGTTTTGTTTGTAAATATGTTCCAGTTACTTTCCACTCCTTTTCCAACCGATGGGGTAATGTACTTAGGCATTCAGAAATCTACAGTTGCTTACTCTTACGATGATTACACATGTAAACTTGCTGACCTAAGAGGGGGAGTGGGTGATGAGATTTAACAACAGACGAGTTGCTACAATATACAAATCTCTATGATTGGCAGTTTACTGTGAGTACTGAGACTCCCGCCTTTTTTAATAGTCTTGCCTCCTTAAGGGATCCTAACAGTACAATGAGATGAAAATATTTAATAGTATAGACAAAGAAGCTACCTATGTTCTCAGAACGCTTGTAATTCTCTCTTAACTCACAAAAACTCATTTTAATTATTTATTATGCCTTCTCTTTCTCAATTTCCCCCAAGATGGTAACACAACTAATTACATCTCATCAGTTACTTTTGCAGTATATTAATTCTACTCTGGTTCAACAATATCTCAACAACACAAAAATGAGTGTATTACCTAGAAGAGTAAGAATGTAACTCTGTGCACCCAAGTTTTTGCACTGACTTTATATATAATTTGAAAGTTGTTGTCATTTAATGAGCTCCATTGTTAAATTATGATAAACTACTGTTGTTGCTAACTTTAGTTCTTCTGGAATAGGTCATATTACTCTCATTTTATGGGAAGCTATAGTTTACTTCCACTGGAAAAATTCTTGAGTCTCATTTTTCTCATTCATAAGATAATGATAATGGTACCTGATTCATTGGGCTTATAGAATTAAGTACAATAAAATAAAAGCAATTACCCTAGTGCATTATTTACTATACACTAAATAGATGGTAATTTCACATGAATGAGAATATCTGAATAAAATCCCATTTACCTAAATTATATATTAGATGAACTTTAGAATCATGGAATTTAGAAATAGGGCAGTATGTTGGGAATTCTGTACTCTAGTGATTTCCAACTGTGTTGTAGGACACATTGGGTTTATGAGGCTCTTGCATGAGAGGAGAACAAGCACTTGCTACCCTCTTTCACGTTATTCAACCAAAAGAGTTGTAGATTTCATTCACATCATAATTTCATTACCTTATAGAGCACTTATTGGGCAGATTTGCCACATTCAATTCATGATACACCACATAATCTGAAACAACTAACCATCCCAACATAGCACCTTCTGAAGATGTTCATAGGTCATTATGGATGGATTTCTTAGTCACTGCCACAGTCCAGTCACAGTTATAGATATCGAATGCTTCAGAGAAGACTGAATATTCCAAAAGAAAGTATGTATAATATTGATAAGTATGTTGCCCAAAACAATGAAATTAAATTAGAAATCAACAAAGAAATAAATTTGTGAAATACACAAACAATTGGAAATTAAACTACACATTTAAAATAACCCATAGGCTAAAAGATAAATCATAGAGATAATTAGAAGAATGTCTTTAGCTGAATAAAAATAAAACCAAATATCAGAATTTATGGGGTCTGGCTGAAGCAGTGTTTAGAGGGAAATTTATAGCTATGATGCTTATATTAGAAAAGAAGAAAGATCTTAAGTAAATTAATCTCAACTTCTACCTTAAGAAATAGAAAAAGAAGAGCAAATTAAATCCAAAGCATACAGAAGAAGTAAATATAAAGATTAAAGCAGAAATTAATAAAAGAGAAAACAAAGTAAATACAGAAAATCAATGAAGCTAAATGTTGACTCTTTGAAAATGAAAACAAAATTGGCAGCCTTGTAGCTAGACTGAACAAGAAATTAGGAGAGAGGATATAGCATAGTCAGGATTATCCAGAGAAACAGGACCACCAACAGGATATGCATGTGTGTATGTGTATATATACATATGTGTGTGTAGTATGTATGTATAAATATATATACACACATCTATATGCATATGTATACACATATGTATCTACAGGGGCAGCTGTATAGAGAGGTATTTATTTTAATGAATGGTTCACTTATTATTCTCAGAACTGGAATAAGACAAGGATACCCACTCTCACAACTCCTATTCAACATATTACTGAAAGTCTTAGCCAGAACAGACATTGATTTTGGCAAATAATTTATGGCTAAGTCCCCAAAAGCAATGCCAATCAGAAAGGAGAAAAAAAAGTGAAAGATGTGCAAATAGAAAAATAAGAAGTCAACCTATCTATCTTCACTGACAATATGATTCTATAAACAGGAATCCCTGAAGACTCCACCAAAAAGCTCCTAGAACTAATAAATGACTTTAGTAAAGTTTCAGGATACAAAATCAATGTACAAAAATTAGTAGCATTTCTATACAAAAATAACATCCGGCTGAGAGTCAAGTGAAGAACACCATTTCATTTAAAATGGCCAAAAGAAAGTGAAATACCTAGAAATATATCTAAGCAAGTAGGTGAACGAGCTCTACAAGGAGAACTACAAAGCATAGAGAAATGAAATCAGTGACAACACAAATAAATGAAAAAAAAAATTACTTATTTATGGATTGAAAGAATTAATATTGTTAAGATGGCCATACTGCCCAAAGCAATTTACAGATTCAATGCTATCCCTATCAAACTGCCAACGTCATTTTTTACAGAAGTAGAAGAAACTGTTCTAAAATTCATATGGAATCCAAAAAGAGCCTGAATAGCCAAAGCAATACTCAACAAAGGACAAATACCTGAGGTGATGTATACCCCATTTACTTTGATGTGATCATTATGCATTGCATGTCTGTATAAAAATATCTCATGCACCTCATAAATATATACACCTACTATGTACCCACAAAGATTAAAATAAATACATTTATGGAAAGAACAAAGTCAGAGACCTCACATTACCCAGTATCAAACTATACTATAAGGCTACAGTAACCAAAAAAGCATGGCACTGGTATAAAACAGACACACAGACCAATGTGTCTCTTACAGAAGAGAAAACTCAGAAATAAAGTCACACACCTCCAATCATCTGATATTTGACGAGGCCAACAAAAACAAGCATGGAGAAAGGACCCTTTGTTCAATAAATACTGCTGGGATACCTGGCTAGCCATATGCAGAAGAAGAATGAAACTGAACCACTACCATTCACTAAATATATAGAAAATAACTCAAGATGAATTAAAAATGTAAATGGAAGACCTCATACTATAAAAATCCTAAAAGAAAACCTAGGAAACACACTTTTTGACATTGACTTTGGCAAATAATTTATGGCTAAGTCCCCAAAAGCAACGCCAATGAAACAAAAAATTGACAAGTGGGAACTAATTAAACTAAAGAGCCAAACAGAGTAAACAGCCTACAGAATGGGACAACATATTTGTAAATTATGCATCTAACAAAGGTCTAATATCCAGAATCTTTAAGGAACTTAATAAGAAAAATCAAATAACCCTATTAAAATGAGTAAAGGACATAAACAGACACTTCTCAAAAGGAGACATGAAAGTGGCCAACAAACTTGAAAAATTGCTCAGCATCAGAAATGATCAGAGAAATACAAATCAAAACCACAATGAGATACCATCTCACCAGTCAGAATGGCTACTATTAAAAGGTCAAAAAGTAACACATGCTGGCAATGCTGCAGAGAAAAAGGAATGCTTATACACCGTTGTTGGGAATGAAAATTTCTTCAGCCGCTGTGGAAAGCAGTTTGGAGATTTAACAAAGAACTTAAGAGAGGGCAATCCCATTACTGGATATATACCCAAAGGAATATAAATTATTCTACCAAAAAGACACATGCTCTCATATATTCATCACAGTGCTATTCACAATAGCAAAGACATGCAATCAACCAAAGTGCCCATCAATGGTGGATTGGATTTTTTAAAATGTGGTACATATACATCATGGAATACTATGCAGTTATAAAAATGATAATATCATGTCCTTTATGGCAACATGAATGTAGCTGGAAGCCATTATGCTAAGCGAGTTAATGTAGAAACATAAAACTAAATAACATATGTTCTCACTTATAAGTGGGCGATAAACACCGTGCGCACATGGACATAAACATAGGAACAACAGAAACAGCAAGCTACTAGAGTAAGGAGGGAGGAAGGGAGGCATGGGTGGGAAAACCACCTATTGGGTACTATGCTCGCTACTTGGGTGATAGGATCCACACCCCAACCTCAGCACTGTGCAATACCTATATAATAAGTCTGCACATGTACCCCCTATATCTAGAATAAAAGTTGAATTTTTTTTAAAAAGCTTCACTTGAATGTGGAGGTGTAAGTTCAAAATCTGCCGGATAGGCAAATAGGCTGGAGATGCAGGAAAGTGTTATAGTCCGAGTTCAAAGACAATCGTCTGGCAAAGTTCCTTCTTACTCAGAGGAAGTCAATGTTTATTCTATTAAGCCCCTTCCCTGGTTAAATAATACCCACACACATTATGGAGGATAATCTGTTTCACTCAAAGTTCACCAATTTAAGTATTAATCTCTTCCAAAAATCAATTTCACAAAATATCCAGAATAATGTTTAACCAAATATCTGGGTAGCATGGCCCAGACAAATTGACATATAAAATCAACCATCACAGACAAATTACCAAAGCCAGTGATAAAAAGAAGACATCACTATAGACTTCAAAGAAGATAAAAAGATTGTAAGAGAATACTATGAAAATTTTATGCCCAAAATTAGAACATTTAGATGAAATTGATTAATTCCCTAGAAAGACTCAAAATTGTTGAATCAGACTCAAGAAGAGATAGGAAATCTGAATATAACTACCACAAAAGACAGAATTTCTAATGAAAAAGCCCCACACACAAAGACTAAGCTCAGGTTACTTCAGTAATAAATTTTGCCAAGCTTTTAAAGAAAAATTAACATTAATTCACCACA